CCCCAAAACCCCAAAACCCCTAAATAGTAAAATGCATAGAATTTATGTATTGAGAAAATTTAAAATGCAATCATATATTATATAATGAGCTATTATTTAGTTTGATGACATCAGAGATACAGTAATGACTATAAATTAAAAGCATTAACAGAAATCAAACTTAAAATTAAAATGAACATTGAAGCAGACAATATATTCTCTTCTGAAGAGAAGAAGCAAGATTTATACTACAATGAAATATGGCCTGAAATTGATCCACTATAACTTAGAGTTGAATAAGATGGAAAAATCATCAAGCTGTAAACCTACAGACATCCAGTTTCAGATAGGTCAAAGTTGAAAGGAGTAGTTTTCTACATTCACGGTTATGGAGGTTACTGTGAACATATGGAGTATATGTTTAAACACTTCGCTAACGCAGGCTATGATGCCTATGCTATGGATCAAAGGGGATTTGGAAGAAGTGAAGGTTTAAGATCCTGGATTGAAAGCCAAGAGACAATGTATTCTGACCTGTACTTGTTTATATTCGCAGCAATATAAAAATACAAGATCAACCTTTAGAAAACACCTCTATTTCTCTTAGGCAAGTCTTTTGGTGGTTTATTATCTTTCAACATTTCCAGTAAGATGCCAACTCTTATCAGAGGAATGGCCTTAGTGGTGCCATTTTTCAAGTAGTTTGGAGATTCTTTATACAGGTACGAGTGGTTATTTAGATCATTAGACTATATTAATCCTAAACAGAATATAAAGATGAAGAGTAAAGTTGACACTACTTCTCCTTACTACTAAAAGTACAAGCACTATTTCACTGATCCTTATCCAACTAATGACACAAGATCAAGGACTCTTCTAATTTTTATTAAAGAATAAGAAGAGGCATTCAAAGCAGTAAAAGAAGGTAGGAATTAAACTCCTATTGTCTTTGTTTTGGCAGGTAAAGATGATGTTGTTAGAAACAGTACAACCAAAGAAATTTATTCTGACATTAATAATGCTAAGAGTAAAATAATTGAATATCCAGATGCTGATCATTCTACTATTACAATAGATGAAGATATTTCAAAGAAAATGGCTTTTGAAATCATTCTATATTTCGATTCATTACTATGAGTAGATAGTTATTTGCTCTTAAAATAACGTGTTAATCATGAATAGAAACATCAATAATTATAATTCAAAAATTTCAATTTTATTGAACCAATGGGGTTTTGGGGTTTTGGGGTTTTGGGG